CCGGCCCCGGCTGCACCTGGGCATGTTTGAGATTGGCAAGCCGCTGGGCAAGGGCAAGTTTGGGCGGGTGTACCTCGCGCGGCACCGCACGTCGGGCTACGTGTGCGCGCTCAAGGTGCTGCAAAAGGACGAGGTGGCGGCCGAGGGCGCCGAGGCGCACGTCCGCCGCGAGATTGAGGTGCACAGCCGCCTGCGGCACCCGGCCGTCATTGGCTTTTACGGCTGGTTCCACGACGCGCGCCGCATCTTCATCATCCAAGAGTTTGCCGCCGGCGGCGAGCTCTACAAGTCGCTGCGCCGCGCCGGCCGCTTCTCCCAGCGGCGCGCCGCCGTCTACGCCGCGCAGGTCGGCCAGTCGCTCGCGTACCTGCACGCCCGCGACGTCATGCACCGCGACCTCAAGCCCGAAAACATACTCGTCGGCTTGCACGGCGAGCTCAAGCTCGCCGACTTTGGCTACAGCGTGCACGCGCCCAGCAACCGGAGAGGGACCATTTGCGGCACGCTCGACTACCTGCCGCCCGAGATGCTCAACCAGCGCAAGGTCTCGTACACGAGGGCCGTCGACCAGTGGACGCTCGGCGTCTTGACGTACGAGTTCTTGACCGGCGAGCCGCCGTTTGAGGATGAGCCGCATCAGACTAAGAGGCGGATTGTCGCCGGAGACTTGAAGCCTTTACCTTCCTCGATATGCCCCGAGGCAAAGGATTTTGTGTATTCGGTTCGTTTTGGCACTAGCCCGCAGTTTTTTCGTCCTCTTTTTACTAACACCCGCTTCTGTAGCTGCTCGACCAAGATCCGGCGAAGCGATTACCGTTGACAGAGGTGATGAACCATCCCTGGATAAGAATGCATTGCGAGAAGAAAAGGCCCTCACATAAAGGAGCATAGTGGAGTTGATGTTGATTTTGATTTTGATTTTGATTTTGATTTCATCTGGCGTTGATCGGAACCTGGGGCATTGCATGCATAGCAGACCGCGGGAAAACCCGACTGCATATAAGGCGTTTTTTCTGGGCATTACATTACGCAAAGTCAACAATTTCATTTGTATTCCTGATCTCTTATTGGCTCTCCTTTACCCTTCGTGAAGCTATAATGCTTTCCAGAACCTCTTACCTCGGGTCTACTCTTCACGGCGACGCCAGCATTGGAGGGAGTGCCGAGGTACAGCCTACCACGCCAAACTAAAACACGATCGCCGGCCGGCTGGCGATTTACTGTTCGTCTACAAAGCGCTCGCTGTTTTTCGAGTTCATCTAAATCGCTTAGAGTAGATGCTTTGTCTATGCTTCTACCTAGGTTCTAATTTCGCTGCGTACTGCCATTGTCAGCCCACACATGCTCATATTCAGTGCTCTGCCAACAGCCTCTAGACTAGCTTTTTGTACACCATCGTACCATTCATACATGTCGAGTAAAGGAGCCCCCAGTGCGGCCTCCAGACCAGCTTGATCCGGTCGACCCTTCTGGTCACTGATATCCTCGTCCAAGCTGGACGTGGACAAATTGGAGCGGAAGATGCCCGCAGCGGAAAAGGGTAAGAAGTCTTCGTATGTAATGGGTACCGCTTCGACGTAGCCCTCTGCGAGCAGTTGGTCGAGCAGTGTGTCATGGCCGCCCGTGGCCGCTCGAATTTGCCCGGGCTTTTTGACAACCGCATATCTGCAGTAAATCAGGCCTCGAGAACGCAGGGACTCCCACGTATCTGGAAAGGCCGCAAAGACTTGTTTTGCGACCGCGTCTGCATCTACAGGGGAGAGACCGGCAGATCCGGCCGCACTTTTGGAGAGAAGAGTGTCGTAGAGGTCCCTGCCCGCCGGCGTGAGGGCCGCTCCACGTTGCTCAATCTCCCCGAAACGAGCGGTGTGCATCGAGGGCACCAGTAAACTCATATTGGCGTATGTGTGAAAGCTGACTTGCTCTTCGAGGGCGAGAAAACTTGTCTGGCGCAGCAAGATGGGGCACGACCTGGGCGGAGGGCCCTCGATGCGCTCCTTGGCACTCATGCCACGCCATACCATTGCTTTCTGGGCCAGCGAAATGTCTAGCGTTCGAGGAGTAAGATGGTTGATGTGTGCCGTCTTCAAGCACGCAATGTCGGCGAGGATAGGGTGCTCTGCTTTGAGAATCTGGTATTCCGTGTCCGTGGAAGCAGCAACAGGCTGCCAACTAAAAGTGCGGAGCGCCTCGGTGACGAAGACCTCAGCCTGCTCCTCTGTGATATGGCCGTTTTGGGACTCGGCCGTATCTAGCATGCGCAACAGCGCGTCTGAGAAGATGTTGCGACGAGAGAGAAGCGCCTCGGACAGGTTTCGGGCCCTTTCGGAAGTGAGGAGTTCAGATCGCAGAAGCGTCGTGAAGACGCGAAATGGGTTCTGCTCCAGGCTCTTAACAGAAACTGGTCGGAAAGCCGTCGAGTGCATAGGAAGGCCGGCAATGGACAAATCGTAGTAGCCGACTGGGTGCATGTCCAGCAGTTTGAAGATGCGCCGGATCGTATACAGCTCATGCGCAGTGCCCAGGCGGATCGCACCATGTCTCTCGGCTGTCAAGCGCTCTAGGCTGCTGTCCAAGTTGCTGCAACCAATTAACGAACGATTGATGCCTTGGACGATTTCGATCAGATCGGCATATAGAGGAACTTCTGTCTTGTACATGGCAGACATGGCCGCGGCAAAGCGGGCGCGCAGATCCGACTTGTCCACGTGCGTTTTCATAATGATAAAGGGGTTCAAAAATAAAAATTTGATATATGACGGTCGAGTGGTTCCTGATTTAGAGATATCATTGCATCAAGTGGTGATGGATGTGATCGCTTTGACCCTCCATGATATCAGTCACTCTCGGAGTAGTGCTTCGCAGCTGCCCCACGGGCTTCCTGACTACGCCGGCAGTAGCGGTTTCAGCATAGTTTTTGATTGTATTGAGCGTAGGAGCTGGCAAATAGCAGAACCTTTTCTCTAATTTTATATAGTCAAATGACCGGTGAAGTGAATGACCGGGCAGATTAGCATGAAGCTCAAGGTTCTGGTCTGTTTGTTGTAGTTTGAAAGTGGAGGCTGTGACTGAGGGCTCTCGAATCGGCACTAGAACCACGTATAATGACAAGCTCCCTTTACTTCTTGAAGATAAGATCAGAAAACAGAGTGCAGGAGAGCATTTTGTCGCTGTTTCCCCGCAAAGCAATGATAGTCAACTGGAACATGTTGGCGTCTACAACGATAGTGGCGTCTATGACGATAGTGAGGTGACCAGCAATGTCAAGCGGGCAAACACAAACGTCTGGGCGAGATTTGGTCCAATCAGGCTTCAAAACAAGACTAGGCCTCGCCGCATGAAGTAATTTCTGCACGCCTGTATCGGTCAAACAAATCGACAGATTTCTTTCGGCTGAGCGAATTCGAAGAATCAAGGTGCTTGGCACGCACAGTGTTTCGACGCTGCAGGTGAAAGGCGCATCCCCATCTAGGCATATAGCCAGTCAAGATTGAACTTGACGAGGTGGTTGACAACTACATCAATTGGCTTGTGATGACGCCAGAATATCGATTAAGTTAAGATCGTGCCGGCTCGTTCCCGCACTCATCTCGTAGAAGATGACATGACCTTTCCCTTCCCGTAATGGCCCGGCTTTTAAAGTTGTGAGCAGTCGGTATCTGGACGTGCCTTGACTAGACTGACTCGACGCCGTATTATAAATATCGTGTATTGGAGGGGACTTTTCAACTCGTGGACAATACTTTTCTTTTTTTTTTTTCCATGTGTGTCTTTGTGACATTTTCCCCCAGGCATAAGTAACCAGAGCGATGCTATTGCCGGGGAATCTGGATAGTGTTTTGGAGCAGGTAAAGTTGATTTCATTAGTAGTCCTAAAGTTGACAAGACGAATTGACTACACCATGAGGGCTGCCCTTGGTTATGTAATGCGGCCGCAGCGTCTGTGCCCTGACCACATGGCGAATTGTGATGACGCGCAGCATCTCGGACCACAGCATACTGCAGTGTATTCGAAGGTACTCGATGGTGAAAATCTCATGCATTTCCTAGCGCAAGGTTCAATGTTGTAGATGGAGAAATAAGCTCCGTATATGCAGTTTTATTGCAAAAAAAAAAAAAAAAAAAACCAATCATCGGATTTCGAAGAATGTAACTAACTTACGGAGTACAAGTGTAGAGATCAGAGATCGAGCCAGTCAAGGATACCCCACCAAAGGCAGGTCGACGCGTCCAACTGTCGCGCTCTGCCCCGCCAAGGCCAACATCGACCTTGGCCACGCTTCAACATTTTTTTTGCATGGGCAGAAACCATGAAGACACATCATGTCATACTACGATATTGATGCCATCCTCACTGATGCTGAAGTACGATATCATACTCTGGCCGTCTCCCGCCATTCACTGCTAACCACCACCACCACCACCAGAAAGTTCCATGCCAGTTCGAGCTCGACGTCCCCTACCTCGGCCACCTCGACAATAATCCGCACGGCCTGAAGCCCGGCACGTCGCTCCTCCTACCGCTATGGCTGGCCGAGATGCTGGCCCTCGCGTCCTCGGGCGGCGAGGACAGCCGCGCGCCCCTCACGCTCAACCTGCCGCCGTGCCTCTCCGACGGCGTCGTCGCGGCGCTCAAGGCCGACCCGCGCGCCGTGGCGCTGCGCGACCAGAGCCCGCACTTCTTTGGCGTCTGCGTCCGCATGCTCGACCTGTTTGACGAGCGCGAGCTGGGCGCGGTGCTGCGCCGCACCTTTATTGTGCGCGCCGCCGACGTCGGCCTGCATGCGCGCAAGGCCGACGAGGGCATGGTCGCCGGGCTCGGCGAGGAGTTTCTGCGCGGCCTGGACGAGTGGGAGCGTGGCTTGTTCCGGACAGGTCACGAGGGGGTCAAGGGCGCCAGAGAGTGGATGGACAAGGCAAAGAAGACGTAAAGGCCTAGTTAGGGAAACAAGGGAGGGGCGGAAACGCGGTTCAGCTGGTCTGGGGACGGCGACGTGACAAAGAGGGCGCAGAGATGGCGTTGTCAAAAGAAAGAAAAAGCGAGTGATGATGGCATATACCCTGGGATGAGTGCTTGACATAAAGTTGACGATAATGAAATAATGTCTCAATCTATGCAACGATCTTGTCGCGAATCGCGCAAGTGTACTACTAATTGCTGGGATTAGGGGGGGTGTCAGAATTCAAGATTGACAGAAACGGTCGATCGAGGCAGTGCACGCACGGCACGGCATGCTCGGATCACAAAGAGGTAATTAACTTTGCCCATTATTACCGTCGAAACGAGAAACAAAATTTTTGCAAAAGACACACAGCCTCACTCGGCATCTCGTCCATCGCATAACCTCCAGACTGCCACCAAAGCCAACCCCAGCAGCAACCATGCCCATGTCAGCAGCATCTCGCTCATTTCCAGCCATATAAAGTATTTATTGGAATATTTGATAACGTGCGCGGTGGCAGCACCAATCAGGCCGCCGAGGACAGGCAGACCCGAAAATGCCCACGCCACGACGCCATGACGGCGCAAGGGGCGCACGACGTGCCGCCACGACCACCAGACCAGCAGGCCGGCAGTGAGCGATACGCCGCGCCAGTGCGCCATGCCACCTTGGTCGGACTCTGTCCGCGCGAGCTGCTGGTCGTGGTGGTGGTGATGATGATGATGATGATGATGATGACCCGTCAGAAGCCGGTACGTAAACAGCTGCTCTGCCGTGGTTCCTCGGAGAGCGACGTGCGTGGCTGCGTGTATCCATGACGCCGCCCAGCAAGCTTCCGCATATGCGTACTCGACTTGCATGATACATAGGGTTAGGTAGATTATGCGGTAGCAATCGGTCAAGCATGCCATGAATGATGTCGTGTCCCGCATTGCCGCGGCTCTTGGCCCTGCGCTGCTGCTGCTGCTGCTGCTGCGGCCACCACCACCACCACCACCACCACCACCACTAGCAAAACCCTTGCCTCTTTGGCTCTTGGGTTTTGTCAGGCCAGTGGCGGAAGCGGTGATGGTGGTAGTGGTGGTGGTAGCATCGGTCAGCAGGCGGTGTCGAAGAAGCGCCTTTGTGGCCGCCAGCGCAATAGTCTGCAGCGCCCAGAAGCCCAACGTCGCGGCGTCGGTGGCGGCCAGCACCTGCTGCTCGATGAACAAGTGCGCCGTGCTGCCCCTGGCAAGCCTCATCGCCTGCACCGGATGCCACCACAGGAACTGGCCGAGCCAGGGCGCCAGCACCCTGCGGACGTGGTTCCCCAGCACCGCCGCGACCACCAGGCCCGCCGCGACGGCGTGTCCGTCGGCCAGCATCGTCGCCTTGACCGGCCCGTAGAGGGGACGCGGAGCCAGCAGCAACCTGAGCTCGCAGAGCAGAGGGTCCAAGAAACTGTAGGCGAGGTTGCGCACCGCTCCTCCTCCTCCTCCTCCTCCTGCTGCTGCTGCTGCTGCTGCTGCGCCTGCGCGTTGTCGCTGCCCGTGCCGCCGTGATGGTAGCAGCCCATGAGTAGGCGTCGTCGTCGCGGCGTCCATCGCCGATGTTGTGCCGCTGGCCGTTTGTCGCACAAAAGAGCCTGATTCTGCACACCTTTTTTTTTTCTTTTTTTTTTCCCTTGGTCCTCCCCCCTTCTTCCCCCTCTTCAATCAGATTATCTGGGCCGCGTACCACTTCAAATTTCGGCACATTTGGAAAATGGGCTTCGATGCAGGTTTGCCTGTTGCCTTGTCAAGGCGCCCACACGGCCCCTTGTTGGTATCAAAAACCCCCTTGTTCGATTGAATGCTGTGTATGTGTGGGCAAAGGCGGGCTGACAGGTTGGCCTGGATTGGTCGATTCCAAAGGCGGCGGGCGGTTGGGGTCCGAATCGATACATTGAAGAATAGGCCGATTCGGGTTATTGAATGTACCCGGTACGTGCTTCCGCTATTTGCACACAGCATGTCCCAACCCAATAAATGTTGAGACGAAAATGCCCAAGCGGCGCCTGCTGCTCCGCATAGTTTGTCAGTATACGCTTCTACATACACGCCCAACAAGAGTCGACAGCCAACCCTGGATAGAACTAGCAAGGGACCCCTTCACATGTCACACAAGATGGAACCAAGTTGCGATCGACTCAAAAATTCGCTAAGCAAAATCTGTCCGTCTATCTATGCGTACATGTGGACTAACTGTTGAGGGACTGTAGTCTCCTCGGCCTGCCGCTTTGATCTCGCTCTTCTTTCGTCTTTGCGTATTCGGCCTTTGGGCGAAACCCGAGAATACATTTCGTCACAATTCATTGTCGCTTTTGACCGGCCCGTCGTACAGACAGGCGTGTGGTGCGACACCATGGCTTCCAGCCTTGCCCTTCATGTCCAGCCAGTCCACATATGCTATATGGGTTCTTGGCTTCCAAAAGGGGAGACAACTTCATTGAAATCAATTTGCTCTGGGTAAAACGTCTCGCCATACAAGTTGAAGTGGGTTGTTTCCTCGCTCGACGTCGATAGTATAGTCCCGGGACTATCAGTGGTCGAAAAGAGGCATTGTTCTGCCTGTTCTGCAGAAAGAAGGATTCTATCATCCAATTGGAGATATGTCTCCGAGCCGAGACTATTATTGAATGGGTACAGGTTTTCCGCCTGGTCCTCCGAGGCAATGAAACTGTCAACCGGAGCAGTGGTATATGTAGGACTCTTGATCAAGTTTTCGCGATAGTCTGTCCTCGCCTCATCCGAGGCGGAAAAACTATCCGAGGAAGCACCAGGACTATTGACTGGAAATGAGTGGCACAGCCGCGCCTGTTCCTCGCACCCTGCACTCCCCGCAGCGGGCACCGACGAGTGCCTCCTGCTGTTTGGCTCCCGGTAAATGGTTGCCTGTTCGCGACCGGTCCGTTCATAGTCAATCCCCTCTTTCGGCTTCACTGTGTTTTGAGAGATTTGTCTGATGTGTACCAACTTCATGTAATAACACTCCAAATACCGAATCTCCGGCCACGCACCGCCGCTGCTCCCACCTCGATGACCCTTCTTCGAGTGGGGAGTGCTTTTAAAGTGCACGCGCCGAATGTGAGCAGCGGCATTATAATTGATGCCATAGAGTTTTCGCAACTGACAATTTTTGCAATCGGCAATGTCAAACGGAATGTGGAATAGGGGCATCAAACCCTTTGAGCGCGGGTCAATGACCTCCCAGCGCCATCCCTCTGGCTCGTGTACGAGCTTGAAGTGACGAACATACTCATGATCGCCCGACAGCTCTTTTTTACAGATTTCGCACTTTCTCTTTTCTTCCTTCTTTCTTCCTTTGCCTGCCTTGCTGCCCGCGCCTTGCCGTGCTCGCTCCGAGCCTGGAGACGCCGGCAAACTCTTTGATGAGGGCAGTAAAAACCTCTGCCGGACGGCATGGTAGTTTGAGTTGCTCAAGGCCCTGAGCGAGCGAATCGACACCTTTTCATGTGTCGTGGTTCCGCTGGGACGCGCCGACCGGCTTGCTACCGCATCGGCGGGGGGTTCGAAGCTTTCTGTCGAGTGCAGCACCACTTGCTGCAATGGCGAGGCAGCCATCCCGATGGGCGAGTTTTCAGTGGTATATGAGTCTGCAATTTGAGTGTCAAGATACTCTGGTGTATAAATGTCTTGTGTAGAGGACGCCTCTGCGGCTTCCTCAGTATCTGGCGCGAACCATTGCCAGTTAAACTGAGTGTCAGCCCCGAAAGTGTAGGTCTCGGCCCCCGTTGCGTAATCCTAGAGATGAAGTTAGAGTTGGTCGCCCAGCAAAAGCTCGTGTGGCGTAGACTCACACTTCCATGGAACTGGAAGTCAGTTCCGTTCGACAACGAGAAACTATCGCTGCTTACGCCATAGTAGCTGGCATTGGGAAGTTCAGGCAGGCCGGTGCCATTCTCAAATGTGTAATCCATTTTAAAATAAAGTGTATGAAGTTTTAAGTTTCAAGACTGAAGGTTGCTTCAATGCGTATAATTTCTTGCTGTTTTCGAACTCGTAAAATCTCCAAAGATGGGATATGCCGTCGACTTTATAGTCCCCAAGCGGTGATACAATTCTTGTCGGTGACAGGTAAACGAGCCAGAATCACGACGGCAAAGGGACGAACGACGTCTGACAGAGCTGCCAGCCTGGCGTATGACAGCGTGTATGTGTATAACTCTTGAATGCATCTCTGATTTGGGAGACACTGACCATTTATTCCCTGTGCCATGGCCAAGGCGTGAAAGTGACCAGGAAGGATTTTGGAATGGGGGGGGGGGGTGGTTTGCAGGGGCGTGCGATGGATGCGTTGGCAGGCACAAAAAGGTGGCTTGGGGGCAATGCTTGCAGATAAATCCACAACAAAGTGCCAGATCGATGCTTGGGAAAAGAGCAGGGTCCCGCATGAGAGTCTGACGGAGCAGTTGTGTGCATTTTGGCATTTGCAATCACCGCCACACGCCTGCCTTACATGACAGGATCGTACCTCTCTGCTCGAGCATGCAAGCCAGGCGCAAGGTACACTTTGGGGGGAAGCAAGAAGAAGGTATCCCAAGTAGATTGGCTGGAGAGCACGAGATGAAAGACACGTCATTGTTGAACAGAGTACAAGCACTAGCAATTGAGCGTCTAGGTGGAAGCAAGTGGCTAAATTGATGTCGTGGCATGTTTCCTTGCTTTGGACAGCCATCTGCGATATCGCTTTCATGCCATCGTCGCAGTATCTCACCAGAGGCCTACACATCTCCTTACATGTGACCAATGATCCCCACCGCATGCTTTATTAGGAGACCAACTGTGGGCAGATACGGGCACACGGGTAGCGTTGGCTTTTTCTCCAGTTCAGGGACCGGCAGGTTCCGCTGCGTAGGTAATGGGAGCAAGCTGCCAGCTGCTCCAAGGTAGAAGGAGGCAGGCTGTGGTGCGGGAAGGGGAATTGACGGCTAGCTAGCGTTAGCGGTGGGCAGCAGGGTCAATGGATGTGACGTAGAGCCCAACGGCGGTTGTGTACGGGCAGTCTCCCTCCTAAGTTGTGGTAGAGTGCATACTGGCAGATTTGCATTGCGGATTGTGTATCCGTAGTTTGGGCTGCGTTAGGCGGAGAGGGGGGGAGGGTCACAGTCTAGATCTTGATGAGAAAAAAAGAAAATTGTATCCCGTTCCATCTTGTTCGCTGGTAAGTGATGAAGATGTGCACATCATGCCCAGATGATCCGAAGCAGACGGACGGAGACAGAACTCCTGGCGGTGAACACATTGCCTGAGTACGAATATTGATTACCCTGACGGTGAACAAACATGGTTACTAGATCGCAGTCGTGCTCTTGTTCGATTCAGAGACCATCTAGTTACTCAGTACCTCCGTACTTCCCGTAATTTTGGTCAGTGGCCGCCTCCATCAGCCACTAATACTGCAAAGATTGACCATCTGCAGGTGCCCGGACCAGTGATTTACAAGACCTTGCTCCATAGAAGGATATACGAATGCTTCTAGTGCTCTGCGAGACACTTGTCCGTTCTATCAGTGGAGAGTCTCATCAGTGGAGAGGAGTCGCCCGGCCAGCTAGGGTAGGGGGTGCTGGTCCCAGTCCCTTGAGAAGGGGGAGGGAGGGCGCGCCTAATAACCTGGTCGGGGAGTTTTCTTTGGGGAGGAGGGGGGTTGTCTTGGGACGGAGAAAGGGTTATGGGTCTCCCAAGGTCGACGTATCAGTAGAATCGACAGTCGACTTGGACGAGTAAGAACAGATGGAAGGGACTCGCTAAAGCGCGCCGCCGTCAGTGCAGCTTCGCAGCCACCGCCATCTTTGCGATGCCACGACCACCAACTGGCCCATTGCCTAGCCCAGCGGAACTTTGGGCTGGGCACCCGACCCTTGTCTAGGTAGGTATGATTCGTATGAAGCAGGTGCCATGTATGACATTTTTTTTTGGCTCGGTCCCTGCACACTGATACTGCATGTATACGTATGTACTAGGCTCCCACTTCCGTGGAAAGGACGGCCGTCATAGTTACCGCTGGTATAACGCGACCTATCGGCCCCAGTTGACTCTTTATCACATTTCACAGCATCAGCCGGTTATGCATGAGCGGCGCTGACTGATGAAGGAAGGGGCAACGGAGCTGGGGAAGAGGGTCATGTATCGTTGATCTTGCTTGACAGAGGGGGCGGGAGGCAGAGTCGCCACATCAGGTGCATGTTGTGAGAGCTTTTTTGCTGCACCTTTCTGCCGAATGACAACAGAACATGTACTCCATGAATACGTACAATTGATTGAAATATTTGGTTTCACAAAAAAAAGGACGGGGGCAGGGATGGGCTTGGCTGATTCCGTCAGGTTCTCGGCCTTGTTCCGCTCCCCGCGATGGGTCATGAACCCAGCAAACTAGGGGAAACCCAGCCGTGACATGCTCGGGAGGCCCAGCCCGCGTTTCTTGTTCTGGTCAGTGATGAGCATGGTGGCATGGGCAAAATCGACAAGCAACGCCATGCAGCTCTAGCGTTTGCTATATAGCTATATAACAAACGCTAACGTACTGAGTAATATGGGTAAGTCTCGTTATCCTAGCAGTTACCAACGAGGAAGATGAAAGAAGTACAGGGCTGCGAGCACCCATCCTTGTCTGCTATATAGCTCAGAACAGGGGGTCAATTTTTGCAGGGGAAAAAAGATAGCGGACAGGCATACATTACTTTCGCACGACACTTCATAAACTAGTGGGAGTGGTTCCATCTCGTGGCCTCAAGTCGCTATCTATGCTATCCGGTGTCGGCGAGATTTGCTTCAGGAATCCAGGAATCCAGGAATCCAGGAATCCTAGGCAGCTCACCTGACGAAATGCATGCACTGCTTTGTCGCGTCCAGTACTCTTGGCATCACTTTAGTTGCCCACTCTAATCCCAAGGAGCCCACAGAAGAGGCAATCCTGGCGCTCGATCTGCGGAGGTTATTGGCACAACCCCAGTAATAAGTTTTGCGGGACAACGGCTTGATGCAAGACAAGCAGATAGCAAAGAGACCCCGACCCCGTCCCCGTCACCCCCAATTCCGTGGCGGGCGCTAACAAAGGCAACGGCGGCGGCCACCAAAAAACACCAAAAGTTTATCCCCATGGCCAGGGAAATGCAATTTTGCAAATGACGTAGTGGTCTTGCGTGGATTTCCCTAATACTCCAAGGCTCGGCTTTGTTGAAGCTCGGTTTCGAGTCGGACCAAGCTTAAGCTGCCAGCAATTCCAAATCTCTTCTCTCCTCTCTCCCCAGCATCAAGCGTAGGCCACTCACGGCCCGCAACATCAAGTGCCTTCCTTGACGCACGTACCTCAAATCTATTTCGAGAGTATAGCTCACACTGCGGCCTCTCAACGGAACAGAGGAATTACACAACAGGATTGGTTGCCTTGCAAAATTTTCCGCTGCCAATGTATCATCTCTTCTCTATCATCGCGCCACACATGCGTTTCCACTACATTCAAGGCTTGTATCAGGGTAAAGTTGAAATCCCACAACAGCCGTTGAGCTCAATTTCTGTTGCCTGCTGCTGCCCAAAGTAAGACGAATAGTTGGCAACATCTTGGCGGTCCAGGTTACTCTGTAACGTCAGTAGACAGTATCCGTTGTCAGATGTTGTGTCTGTATATCCCCAAAGCCTAGAGCATTCTCCTACTCGTAGTACCGCAGAAATGATCCGACGTGAGGAGAGAGCATCACAGCCACGTAGCAATGATTCGCACCTTGTCACTTTGGGGGATTTTTATCAGCAGGCCGACAGAGAAAGCGATGGTCCTCCCCGCCTCGGCGCTTGAATTTGGTCCAATGAGAAGACACTGGGAGCACTCATCAGCAAGAAACGTAGGTGGAGCGCAGCTGAAGAAGCGCCTCCCACCGAGTTGCATTTTACAGTTCATGACAATGTTCGACGGGCGATCATGATCGCCAACCGGATATTTGGGCACTGGCCGGTTGTTCGAGCTCGGCTCCACTCGGGAGCGCGACTTATACAACGACTTGTATCACCTTTGGGCGGAATGCAACCACCCAAAAGCAGACAGGTCACACAATGAGATGGTCTGTGGTCAGACACCATGTACAGGCATCTGTCACGATGATGAACAATGGAATTTCGTAGAGGATGATGCTGGCGTTGCACATTTGTTGTCGCTCTACTTTGCTGTGCTCCGTTACTAGCGTCCAAAGTTGCGTAAATAATAGTGTCATGAACCTCAATTGCCAGCATGTTTTTCTGTAAGAGGTTGCCAGAATGCAAGCACGTCTACCTCTCTGCGGACACCTGACATATGCCCGAGATGGCTGTAATTTACACAACTGCCACTCACATTCTGTGTTGTAGACGGAAGCACGACGTTATTTACTCCCACAAGTTGTAACAGGGTGTACGTCTAAAGACAGAGCATGATAAATTCAAAGTTGGGGTGAGGCAAAGAGAGACTTACACGAGAATCAGAAAAAAAACGCTTCCTTTTTAGAAAGACGCAATGCAGCCGGCAGACATGGCTTGCTTCTGGTGGCGGTTCGCCAACGGAAATGCGCTTCCCTTTTTGCATTGCGGAGGCTCATCAGTGCCATTAACTACTCGCCAACAACTTTTTGTCGGTCATTTTCCTTCTGGCAAACGGGCCCGAATGTCGCCGCCGTTGCCTCCCACCACCATCACGCGGCCCTGAGACCGAAAGAATAAAAAAGGGTCGGGACGAGAAAGCCGATGCCCATCTGCAGCAAAGGGGGGGGGGGGGAATGGGCGGCGCGAGTTTTGGTGGTGTGGGTGGCGGAAAGGCCGTCGTCCATCCTGAGACAACAACACCAGGAGTCCAGGACACACAACTGCTTGCTCATTCAGCCATCCTGTGCAAGGCCTGCAGCTGAAAATAGAGGGGGGCTTTTGGGAACGCTGGCTGGGCATCATGTGTGACTAA